CAGAAGCAAATAAATAGCAGAAATAGACATGCAAAGATTTTAGATACTGGAATTAACAGATTCAAAAAACAAGTATATATACTATGTTTAAAGAAAACAAAAGAGTAAATTAAAAGCATGAGTAAAGTGACTTTCAGAAGTGTCCAAGAAATTTTGAAAGGGAATCAGATAGAACTTGTAGAAATAATACATAAAATACTTAAAATTAAAAATTCAGTAGATGCATTAAACAACACATTAAATGTTAACTAAAGAGGGAATTAGAAAAATAAAAATGGAGAAATCACCAGTGGATGGGCATGGGGGTTTGGGGAGATGTTGGTCAAAGAATACAAAATTTCAGTTAGGAGAAATAAATTTAAGAGATCTATTGTTCAACATGGTGACTATAGTTAATTACAATGTCTTATATTCTTAAAAATTGTTAAGAAAGTGGATTTTAAGTGTTCTCATCACAAAAAATGATGTTAGGTAATGCATTTGTTAATCAGCTCTATTGAGCCACTCCACAATATATATACATATTTCAAAACATCATACATGATAAATCGTACATGATAAATATATACAATTTTTATCTATTAAGAAATAAATAAATTTTAAACAAACAAAACAACCAGAATTCATCACAGAAAAAAACAGAGATCAAAAATGAAGAAAAATTAACAAACATGAGGAATAGAATGAGAAGGTCTAATGCACATCTAATTAGACTCCCAGAAGATATAATAGAGAGAATGAAAGAAATTTTTGAAGCAACAGAGGTTGAAAATTTTCTAGAATGGATGGAAGCCATAACTCCTCAGATTCAGGAAGAAAAACACATCCCAAAAATGATAATTTAAAAAGAAATTAACGAGTACACAAGAATAGTTAAACTGAATAAGATCCAAGATACTGAAAAAGTCCTAATAGCATCCAAAGAGAATGATTACCCTCTAAGAAACATTTAATAGAGTGACAGCTGATTTTTCAATACCAACAATGAAGCCAGAAACTCCAAATCACTGAAAGAAAATAACTGTCAACCTGGAATTGTATTCCCAGATAAATTATTATTCAATAAATTTCAATAAATTCAGAAAAGATATTTTTAGAGAAACAAATATTGAGAGTTAACTATGAGCAGATCTTCAATAAAAGAACTTTAAAGGATATATTTCAAGAAGAAGGAAAATAATCCAGGAAAAAAGGTCTGAAGTACAAAAAGGAATAGTGAGCAAAGAATATGGCAAATGTGAGTAAACCTTTACAGAAGGATAAAGAAATGCTATTAATGTTAATTCCAGGGATTTAAGAAACAAGATGGAACCAAAATATGGGACAATAATAGCATATACCTTGGCAGGAAGGATAATGAGAGTTAAGGCATTCTAGGTATTTTATTGTTTAGGATAAGAGTAAAATATTAACTTTAGACTTTGAGTGAACTTCTAAGCAGATTCTTCCCATCAAGCCTCCAGATGAGAATGGAGCCTGGCCCACACCTTGATTGCAGCCTGTGAGACTCTAAGCACAGAACCCAGCTAACCCATGTCCAGACTCCTAACTCACAGAAACTGTGAGATAATGAGATCATAAATGTGTATGGTTTTATGATGCCAAGTTTGTTATGCAGCAATAGATATATGAATTTAATCTGTTTAATGTCTGTCTCTTCCATTAAACTCTGATGTCTGGGACCATGCCTGTCTTGTACCATGGAATCACCAACATCTGACACAATGCTTGGCCCATAGTTTGCAGTTAATAAGTATGTGATGAATGATTGGATGAATGAGAAAGGAGGCAATCAGGAGCTTGGCTTTGAACCCTTTCTAATTGCCATACTTTAAAGAATGGCTGGTATTCTTATGAGAAAGGGACCGTAATGCCTGTATTATCACTGGGGGAAGTTTTGGCATCTTTCCCTACCCAGGCAGACAGTGAAGAATTGCATGTGCTGGGATTGAGGAAGATGGACTGTAGAAGTCCTGGTCTTTTGCTCTCTTCTCAAGCTCATGGGCAAACACGAGTCTGTAGGCTCTAAATTAAAATGTAGGCAGAGAGAAGCGTGATTGTACAGACAATTTCCAGAACTGAAATTATATATGTGCTTGTTTTTTAGCACCCTGAAGCAGGCCCTCAAAGTCTTCAAGCAGCGTAAGTGATTTTTAAAAAATGTATTTGTTGCCCCTGGCAAGCTCTGTATCTGTCATCAAAGGTGCGTTTTAATTTGAACCATAATTTCACATTGGGTGAAAAAAACTAAGAGAGCTCCTATAGTGAGAAATAGTTCTGCAAAGTTGAAATGAGCTGTAGGACCCTCCTTCCCTATGCATCATTTCTCCCAGATCACCAGACACTTTTATCCAGGAGAAATCCGTTGTTACAACAAACATCAAAGGAATCATTGTCTTGGTTTCCTCACTCGTACTCTAATCTGGCTTGTGTGCCCACCACTCACTTGCAACTGTTTTTTCCAATTTTATGTCACTAAGTCCGGTGGACAATTTCAGTCCTCTTCTTACTTGAATCTTCAGTAGCATTCAATGCTGTTGAGCATTCCTTCCTTCTTGAAACCCTTATCCCTTCCGTCTCCCTTGGGTTCTTCCTGCTTCTCTGGCTACTCTGCTGTCCCTTTCTTTGCTCTTCTCTATCCAGCTCTTCAATATTGCAGGTCCTCAGAGCTTGGTCTTAGACGTTCACCTCTCAGTCTACCTAGGGAAACTCATCCGTGTCCCTGGCATTAGCACCTGCCTTTACACAGAGAATGTACGGATGGATATATATATTTTTTTCCTTTTTTTTGTCTTTTTTACTGACTGGTAACGGGATCGCAACCCGCGGTGTCTCGCCGGTACCCGGGACCGGCAATGGGATCGCAACCCTCGGTGTTGCGCCCGCACCGCGCTCAGCCAGTGAGCGGGAACCGGTCTCCACATGGGATCTGAACCCTCCGCGGGAGCGCCGCCGCGCTCCCAAGCGGCGCACTCTCCAGTGCGCCACCGGGCCGGCCTGGATGGATATTTTCAGTCCAGAACTCTCTATGCCCCAGACCTTACTTTCTGCTGCATAATGTTTCTTCTTGGATGTTGCAAATGCACCGTAAATTCAACAGTGTTTGTAACTGAACTCATGATCTTCCAGGCTGATTGCCTAAGGAAGTTTGAGATCTTTTTTTAGAATCACACCCTTTTGTCTTCTGAGAATTCTTATCTATTGTTTTCTCACCAAGGTCAGGATATTATTATATTCTAGAAATGATGGGGCATCTTCCCCATTCTTCTCCTTCAGCTTCTTCAGAGGAAACTCCAGTGGGAGGTAGTTCCCTCATGTTTCAGACTTATTTTCTTATTTTAAATGGGGCATTTTAATTTTATTATACTTCTTGACAATGGCAAAGGCTGGTTCACAAAGGAAATAGAAAGTCTTTGGAAATACCAATGTCAAAATTTTCTGTTCATCTCTGCTGGGTTGAAGCTTTACTTCCCTGCATTTTTTTTAGGGTAAGGAGTCATTTTCTTCCTGTGGTTCTTGCTTTTCTGGGATAGCTAATTATTTATTTGGTCTCATGTTTGGAAGTCAAATAGAAGACACATGTCACGTACCCTCAGCTTTCTTTCTTAATTTCTCAGTTCTTATTTCTGGATCGTGGCCTTTGGCTGTAAATGTAATTTGAAATTCAGCCACCGGATTTTTATTAGGTTTGTTTATTCTAATGTGATGACAACCAGGAGTTGGGAAATACAGAGTGAGGCCCTGGCACTTTGGTCTTCAAGGGGTCCTGTCCAGGTCTAATATTCCTCTTGCTCAAAAACTGCCTGTAAGGCTTTCTGTTCTTCGGAATACTTGGTGTTTCTGTGAAAGTTGATGAAATCACTTTCTGTCTGATCCAGACAAAATAGGGCCTGGAAAGGCATAAAGGGGTGGAGGGGTGAGGGGCTCACGCTGGCTTGTCTGAGATAAGAATTGTTTCCAAGGATTTTCTAAGACCTATGAGAAATCCTTTCACGTCTTTCACGTTCTTCACACATCCCCTGCTTTGCATGTATACACGTGTTTCTGCAGCTAGGTTTATCACTGGACATTGTTTAGAATTGTAGTAATTCAGATAAGATGCTCCAGAAGAAACTGCCCAATAACATCTCAACCAATGAACTGATGACAAATCTAACTCTGAGCCTCCAAAACCAGTGATCTCTGTTTCCAAGCAGCTTATGTGAACCTTTCCCTTTTTGCCAATAAAAACTTTCTCTTACCCTCCCCTCATCAAATGTGTTCATGGCTTGCCATGGTATGCATTATGGATTACAATCCTATTTTCTATTCCTGAATAAACCCAACTTATTTGGAGGTATTTTCCTCTAATGTGTTTTATATGTGTGATATGTGCTTAAAGTGTTTCTGTAGTTGATGGTTCTAGACCTTTGTAAATATTAGCTAAATAAATATTCATCTTAACTTTTCCATAGAAGGTGTCTTCTTCCCTCTTTAACTCATCAATGAATACATTTCTCAAGGTAGGGACAGTATCTTTTCATATTCCTTATATGCACTCTAAGGCCAAGGATGGTGTGGCCCAAGAGAAATTCTGCATAGACTAGATCTCCTGAATACATGCATACATACATATACACATATATATTTGCTGTTATTTAACTTTTCTTTTTTCCTCAAAAAAGTTTTATTTTTATTATTAAAATAATATATACTTATCTTATAAATTCAAATGAGATGACTAACTATAAAGAGGGATAGTAAAGACTGGAATTTTCACTTACCAGTGATAAGCAGTTATTGGTGAATATGCCTCCAGACATTTTAATGCAATTAAACATATATATGTATAATATATATGTATTTATTCATATGCATAAATAATATTATACCATGGCAGTGGTTCAGAATTTCTGGAGAAGGCCAGAGCATATGTTTTTAAATGAAATTACCATTTTTCAGTCATGCTGGTAGTTTGGTATATATCTTTCCAGACCCTTTTCTAGGCATTTACAACTCTCTTTTAATTGTAGACACAGAGACATATATAGACTTGAATGAGTTTTTATGAGATCATACTATACATATTTCTTTATAATTTGCTTTTTTAGCTAATATATCACAGTTTTCCATCTCAGTTCATATAGATTTATCTCTTTTTTTTACATTAAAAAATTTTGAGTCCACAAAATGTCAAATTTCCTTCAGATAGGGGGTGCTGATTTTTCCTAATAGTGCTGCTCTTCCCTGTGCTCACCAATACCAAGAATTTTCACACTTTAAAAATTTTGCTAAACTGAAAGATTTCGGTTTTAAGGTTCCGCATTTTTAAAATAGTTTAAAGCCAAGTATACTTGTTGGTCATTTAATCACTTTTTTTTTTTTTTGGCAGCTGGCCAGTATAGGGATCTGAACCCTTGACCTTGGTGTTAATAACACTGTGCTCTAACCAACTGAACTAACCGGCCAGCCCTAACCACTCCTTTTTGAATTTCATGTTCTTTAACCAGTTTTTAAATACTGAAGTATATATATTCTTCTTTTGATTTGTGAAAGGTCTTTTAATGCAGTTATTTGCTGTTTTATTATATAAATGGCAAATATCTTTCTGGTTTGTCATGTATCTTCTAAACTTCTTCAAGGTTATTTTAATACACACAAGTTTAAAATTTTTTCTTATATTGGATCTGTCAGTCTTTCTAGCTTTAATGCTATGCTTCGATTTGTTTTCTTAGAACAAGTAAAATGAAAAGTTTATTTTTTATTCTAAAGGCAAGCCACACTCATTGGAAGGATCTTAGAAAATAAGGAAAAAAAATCACCAATAATTTTTCTACTCAGAGATAACTATTGGTAGCCAAAATTTTGGTGTATGGCTTTTCTTGTAAATGTTCAGGCTCATAGAGGCCATCTAAAGAGAATGAAGGATCAAATTTGAAGATGTAATGGCTTTAGTAAAGTTTCCTAGAAGGTACATGCCATGAGCTGGGATATTGGCTGTGTTTTTTTCCCCAGTCTGAACATACACTAGGTTAGTAGCAGTTAGTGGGTAGGAGGCTGAGCTCAAGATTTTTCTAGCCTTGGTCTTGGTGGCCAGGGCAATGCTGGGCACATGGAGGGGCTCAATAAATGTTGGTGAACAAATGAATTGATGTTTGATTTTACCACTTGCTCCAGTATTTTGTATCCATCTATTTTTATTTTGCATGGTTTTATATATTTGAATTCATACATATGTAGACCTTAATTATTTCTGTTTTTTATATATATTCTTTTTGCAGAAGTAGACAGTGTGGCACAATGTCACATTCGGCTTGCGCAGACTCTAAGAGAAGAGGCCAGGAAGATGGAAGAATTCAGGGAAAAGCAGAAGCTACAAAGGAAAAAGGTTGGATTTGTATATGTGTTCAGATGTTGCCTTTCCTCCTGCAGAAAAACCCAGGCTATTTTGTCTATTAAACTCCTCATGCAACCACCCTCAGCTTCCACCCTCATGCAACCATGCTCTTCTTTAAACCTGAGAAATTATTTATTGTATTCCTCACGTGGGGACTCAATCTAGCTGGTTATGCTGCTGTAACCATTTCCACACCCCAGCCAGTTCTTAAAATTTTTGCAGGATTTAAGGGTCCAGCTTGCAGCCCTCTTCTTTTCAGATCTGTTTCCACTATTAAAACTACGGCTGGAAAGGGGAAACCCATCTCTTTAGGAGAGACTAGCACATCCCAGCTGGCAGGCTCCTAAACGACACTCTTCCTCCTTGACAAGGCAGTATGGGAACAGGGAAGAAGAGGAGACTTACACTCTCTTGAAAACCTTAATGTAGTCAAATCATCCTATTTTGCAAATACAGAAACTGAGGCCCTGGAAAATCCAAGTCCTTTTAGTCTTCAGAGAAGATATGTATAGGCTCTTTGTCACTGATGGGATTTACTCTGACAAACTACACAGAAGGAGATGAGGGTAAACAAGAATTAATAAAACTGGCAAATGTTTGGGAAGTTGTAAGGATCAAGAAAAGAAGTCCAGGTTTATATTAAAGTGTTACCTGGACTAGTCCGACCACTACTCTGACTCTTTTCTATTTTATTCCTGAAAGATTTGTATATGTAGGTTGACCCTGCAGCCAAGTAAGGCCCTTCCAGAATTTCTTTCTATATCTGGTCTCCAAGACTGGAATTCTGTCCTCATGGGGACAAGTTCTTCCTTGTCTGGCACCCAAAGATTTCCACCTGGGTCTCCCAGGACAGCTCTGCAAAGATGTTTAGTGACCTCTTTCACCCTTCCTGGATATCCCTTGGGAAACCTTTCCTCATTCTGGCCCTTCACCATCCATCCCCTGAGGTTATCATCTACAGTGTGTGTATCCAATAAACAGCCAGCTAATATGGCTGATTCTTCCCTTACTTCAATCTCAGCAACTTTGCCTGTGGTTCTAAGCTGGAGTCTAGATTTAGCTTCCTTGGTGGTCACTTGCATCTGGGGTGGGCAGCAGCAGCTTGAGAACTTGAGTGCCTTACATGAATTGTCATTTCATGAGCTGCTCTTAGCATACTACTGCCTCTCCCTCTTACCAGGAAGGAAGGGCAGAAATGAACATTTAGGGAGTGCCCTATTAAGAGCTTTCACCCACTGTCTCAAGCTTCATGTATCAGGTCTCAGGGGTGTATCTGGCCCAAAGCCATTTTCAGAGTAGAAATAGTTTGTATATTGCACCCATTGGGTGATCAGACCCTTTCGGCTCACATTTCCGGGCCTGCTTGCCTCCCTAGGGGAATTATAATTTTCCAGAAGCAAAATGCCTTAAACACTTAGTGTCTATGCACACATGATTTCTAGTAAGAGGAGAGGAGAGTCATTTCCTCACATTTGCAAGTGCCCTTGGGAGCCCTGGTTCTTGCAAGGAGTTTTGTTAATTTTGCAAGGCTACTGAAACTTCCCTTCCTAACAAGTTACATAGACCAAATTCTTGTAGCTAGGGGAACACGCTCTGAATTCTGTTAAGCAATAGCGGAGCCTGTACTCAATCCACTGCTATCACCCAAGTTCCCTATATTCTGTGTACTCTCTACAGCAGGAAAATGCTTTCAGAGTGTTTTTTGAGAAGTCCAAAGTTTATTAATAAATTTGTAATTACTTGTGTTACAATGAACTATGGGTTGTGGTTGTACCCCTTCCATATTTAGATACTTTTAAAAAAAATCAATTAGGAGAAAACGTGTCAAAGGCAACTTCTTATTTTTCACTGGTTAAACTCTGCCCACTTAAGTGTTTCACTTCTTGGAAATAAGCCACTTCCACGTATCAAGGAAAGCCATCACTTGATTTCTTTTAGTAAACTGGGGTGGGGGAGGTATGGATGGAATGGCTGGTCAGAAGTCTATGGCTTGCTCACTCATACAACTAATGTTTTCTGAGGGTGGTGACCAAGATGGATGTGGTCATACCTCTCTCACTAAGCATAGAAGATGGCCAGACAGGCTGTTGTGACACAGTAATCATGATAAAGCGTGATGAGCCTAATATGAGAGGGGAAGTGATGGTGCCACCTGAACACAAATGGGGAAGCATACCCTTATTCTTGAGGCTGGGGATGACCTATTGGAGAAAATACATTGAAGCTAAAACCAGCAGAGTGAAAGGCAATACAGGCGAAATGGTGACAGGTGAGGCTCTCGCCCACCTCTGGGGTTGACAGGGTAGGGAGGGGTCTTAGGAGCCATTCTCAGGTGTCTTGACCTTTGAGGGTACTGAGGTTTCTTCCCCGGCCCAGAAATGTCCTTAGTGTGCAAAGACAACATGTGATCAGATACTGTGTCCTCTGGAACCCACACTGTTTTGCCATCTCAGCTAAGATTGGGATGGGCGTGTGCTGCCTGTGTAAAGAGCCATCTCCAAAGAAAGGAAACTCCTTGGTTACAAAGAGCAATGCTTCCAGTTTTCAGAATACAGTCTGAGTGCGGGTAGACAGAAAAATGGACAACAATGCAGCTGTTTCAATACTTTACCTCAGGGTTATTTGGGTCATTTGCAAATCTTCCTTTTCCTTACCCTGTGGCAGAGATGATTAGATTTTTGCACTCTTTCATGTTATCAATAATAAAATACAATCAAATTTCCACTGGATTTGGTCTGAACAGAAAGTCTCAAATTCCTAGAGGAGGCACTTCCCCAAGGAGACCTGAACGAGAACATTTGACTCACAGGGGACACTCTGAGTAGATCCCCCTGAGTGAACATGGACATGAAGAGACTTATATCAAGGAGGTATAGCAGACAGAGCCAGCCCTGGTGTCTGAAATCTCTACCTCTAACTCACTGAGTGGCTTTGAGCAAAGCATATCACCTCTTGGGTCCCTGGGGTCACACCTGTCAGGTTAAAGAGTTGGATTGCTGCTTTCTAAGTTCCTGCCAACTTTCAAATACCAGGAATCCCTGAAGGCAGAGGGAGGAATGATAGGAAGGAAAAAGGTTCTCTGTGTTTAAGCTGTAGATACCATTAGCAGGTGAATGGCCGCCTCCTGGAACCTCACTTTCACCTGGGCTGGAAGATGACTGCAGGGCTCTCTGAAGGCTCATTGGAGCTCTTCAAAGGGAATTTCATATACTCCATAAAGTTCATGTTTGAAGTGAGACTATCCCAAATATTCCATCCAGACATCTTGAAAATTCATTCAACCACGTTTGTGTGTTATGATAACAGAAAAAAACTTAATTTTTATGTATCTAGAAGGAACTACTTTTGAATTTCATTTTTAATATTATTATATTATTTTTGCATAAAATTAATGTCATTACTCATTTTTAATTATTGCATCTCGCAGTCTTTTACACTGTTTGGTTTTATAGATCTATCATAAGGATAATGGTAACTTAGGGCAATGATTAGGAACAAGAACACTGGAGTCAGGCTCCTTGGTTCAAATTTCAACTCTATTACTTGCTGTGTTACTTTGGGTAACTTAATCAACTTCAGTACCATCAAGAAAATGAGGATAGTAGTATTCACACAGTTGTAATGTATGAAAACTGCTTAACACATAAATGCTTGACAAATGGGAGCTACGATGATTATGTCTGAGTGGTACATCTTTATTATTAGCACCATGATTTTTACTAATAAAAGCATTAACAACACAGCCATAAAGAAATTACTCCCAGGTGAACTTGACAGAGGAGTTTAACTTTCTTGGGTTAGGTGGGATAAAGAGTAGCAAAACAGTTTCTCTCAGTTGTCCCACAAACATTTCTTCCCTCATAGTGCCCGGGCACCCTACTGGTTAGGGGTGTGTCATTGATGGACCACAGAAGTGAATGTCTGTAGGTTCCTAATTTAAGTGTGCTGACATAAGCTTACAGAATAAAGATCCCCTTTAAAGATAAATGGTACTTTAACAAGAGTTATAAAATTCCTTTTTGCAACCAAAGTTCCTCGATTCCAGATTTACTGAAGAGACTGCTCTAAGTTGACCATTGAGTCTCCACAGTGTCTGAGAGTTCAGGCTCTGTTACTGATTGCCCAAGGTCAAAGATGGGCACTGTCATTACCTTGCCAAAAGACCTTGGGCAAATTGTTTAGCCTTTGCTTCTGCAGTTTCCTCGTTTGTGAAATGGGGGTAATAAATAGCACCTCTACCTTCTGGGTGGTGTGAGGACTAAATAAGATAATCTATGTTGAGCACTTAGCCCTCAAGATAAGCTAGTATTAATAATAACTTCTGTGTTTTTTTATTTATTTCCTAAAAAAATTATTTATTTTTCATTATATATACTGTGAGGACTAAATAAGATAATCTATGTTGAGCACTTAGCCCTCAAGATAAGCTAGTATTAACAATAACTTCTGTGTTTTTTTATTTATTTCCTAAAAAAATTATTTATTTTTCATTATATATATTTATCGAGTATAGAATTCACTATCAGTATTTGTGTACAGTATGTGGTGATCAAATCAATATTATTAGCATATTCATCATTACAAATTGTAATTACCCTTTGTGTCACTTACCCAGTTAATCCCTAATCCCCTCCCCCTTTCCCACCTCTAGTAACATAGTTCTGTTCTCTCCTGAAAGTTCAGCGTAACTTCTGTTTTTATTAATAGTCCTTGTGCTCTCTTCACAGACAGAGCTTGTAATGGATGCTGTCCATAAACAAAAGAGCTTACAATTCAAGAAAACCATGGAAGTGAGTCATATTTTATTGCCTTTTTTTGTAATGGTGACATTTTCTGAAATGTTATGCTGTGTACGAACATATTCCTACTCAAATAACATTTCAATGATGTTATAATTTATCAATGAGGTGTTTTAGGGAAAACAGCCTTTAGTGGTTTGGTTTTCTTTCTTTTATGGCCTTGGAAAGACTAAAGATGAAACCAGATAGTGGAAAAACAATGGTGCTGTTTTTCTTGTAACCTGGGAAAATATAGCAAGTCGATTTAAATATTTCAGGCCAAGACACAAGAGCATGTATGCTGTAAGATGCCATCTATCTTGTTGGATTTGAGCTTTTACCCTGTGACTATTTTGAATCTTGATTGCTTACCTTTTTTATTGAGTGACCCCTTCCTGTTATAAAATACCTGAACATTGCAAAAGCCTTCTTTCCTTTAAGTAATTTATAAAAAATGCTTGACAAGACAGAGGTAAGATAAGTTGCTAGGGATCTCACTCATATGTGTATATATGACACCACCTTTGTACAGAAATATCATCATGATATTCTATGACTATGACAAGATATGAAAGTGTCACCAATGTTGATGGCATACACAATATGTTCTGCTGCATTGTTTTTTTCTTTGATGCAGATCATCTCAAAAGCAATTGATAAATAGGGAATGATATCAGTATAATGCAGACATACCATTGGTTGGTATATGATTTCTCCTAGACCTTTTATGTTTTGAGCAATCTGGAGCAAGCTTTCTCACAGTTAAAGAGGAAGTCTTATCAAAATATAATTTTCTGAACTATTTCCTCTATTTAGAGCCATATCAGTGTTATAATTTTTGCTTCAACTGTCAAGAAATGATTTAGAAAATCCAAGAGAAGAAAGACTATTGTATTTACCCCCTTTTCTTTTTCTTTTTTCTTTTTTAAAATTGAATTATAATTGGTTATACATATTTTGGGGGTTCAATGTTGATGTATGTTGATCAAATCAATATTATTAGCATATATATTATTATAAATCATACTTATTCTTTATGCCCTTTATCCAATCTCTCCCCCATTCCCCTCTCTCTCCCCCATCCCACTTCTGATAACCCTCAATTTTTTCTCTCCTTCTGAAAGAGTAATGGTTACTCTGTTGATTTGTTGCCTAGATGAACTATCCAGTGCTGAGAGAGGTGTGTTCAAGTCCCCCACTATTATTGTAGAGCAGATGCTTCTTCTATCTCTCTGGAATGGGCTTTGTGGAGAGAGACATCCTCTTCTTTTCTTTGGTCTCCTCTGGTGACTCTCATGTCAATGCACTTGAGTGGCTGGAGGGCCATCTGCATGGTGGTTGTGGTGTCTAGCCACTTTTGTGGCAGCTGTGGCTATTGTGGTGGCTGTGGTGGGCCATCCACATAGACGTGGTGTTTTTGGTGTGTTCTTTGCCTGTTTGCACGAGGAGGGGTTGGTCCCGGATCCATCCGCTCTCACATTCTAAGATGTTGTTGTGGAGCAGCTGGGTGGGAGGGGGGGGAGAAGGGGGAAAGAAATAGGGTGAGAGAAGGAGGAAGGAGGGTGGATGTGATTGAGGTCCACGCTGCCCCCATCATTCCTGCAGGGGAGACCAGAGGTCTTCTGGTGGTGGCTTGGTCATTGCTGGGATGAATGCAGATTTCAGGGGGATGTGGCTGAAACCCTTGGCCCCCCACTACCCTGGCTTGGGAGCCCAGGGCACTTCCTGGGGCACTTCCTGGGACAGTTGTTGCTGGGCTAGATGTGGACGTTGTGGGGCATCGCTAAGGCCCCTGGACCTCCCCCATCCCTGGCTTGGGAGTCCAGGGGGCTTCTGGTCCTTCTAGGTGTTAGAGGTGTTCTTTGGTGGTGGTAGACCTTTACTAGTTAATATCAAACTTTGTCTAAGATCTGTGGGTATTTTGTTTTTGCTTTCAGTTCTGTGTTGGATTATTTACTCTTCCCACTACTTAAACTCTGCACTGGAACTAATTTGTTGTCTTTTGCTTACTTCTAATACGGGGGAACTTCCTGTGGGGACCAGGACTTGAGCTCTGTGGTTGAGCTAAATTTCTGCTTTGCTGCTGATTCCCTGGGGAAGGCTTTTTGTGCAGCTCAGGTTTTCATGGTTGACCTTGTCTGTACTTCTGAGTCTTGTGAGGTTGGGTACATCTGGGGTGTGTGGAAACTCTGGCCTGGACCTGAGTCTTTTCAGCAAACTGCACCCCCTGCAGTTCTATTTTCCTGACCAGTCTACACAGAGTGGGCCTGTGCTGATTGGAGGCAGATCAACTGTCCTTGCTGTGCCCCATTGTTCCTGCGGTGGGCCCATCTCCCTCACCAACCACACTCCAAACCCTTCCCATGGGATGGGCCATGCACTTGTCCCTGGCAATGACTCATCTGCCTCTTAGTGGCTCTTTTTTCAATTGTTGTGGCTCCTCCCTCCTGCGTGGCTCCACAGGAACCCTGTTAGAGGTCTTGCTCACCTGAGAGCCACCAAGGCTGTCATCTCCTCTGCTGCTTCCAAGCAACTGCATCCAAAGGGCAGAGCTATGGCTTCTGCCAGCTCTTGTTCCATGTGCTCAGCAGCTCTAGCCTCGAAATAGCCGGGGCTCAAAATGGTCAGAGCGGTTCTTACTTTCTCTCATTGTGGCTTCTCCTGCCTTTGTGAACTCTGGAGGTCTCTCCTCCACTTCCTCTGAGCTCTAGTGGCCCCAGCTTGGCTGTCATTACTTTTTTTTTTTTTTTTTTTGTCTTTTTCCGTGTCCGGCAA